CCCACTGGGAACATAATCATGATGCTCGACACACACTGAGAAACATAAGTGTTTTTGTATTCTTAGAGAAATCCTCGCAGAACCCTTCTTTTTTCCCATTTTCTCCAAACCGCTGCCACAATACATTGAACCTATTGCCTATTTCTCTTTCCCCATTATCATTGCCATAAAAAAATCAACTAAACCCCATTTATCATCTCCATTATATCCCTCTACATAAACCATACCTAAACCCATTTGCATTTCAAAAATCCCCAATTTCTCACACAAACTTTTACCCATCTTCCTTCCTTGCTCCAACAATGACACGAAGAAATTCACGACCAGAGCCAGATATTTCTGGAATTACATTTCGCAACGGAGAAGTTGGAGAGCACCAAAGGGCTCAGTATATTAAGTTCTATCAATGCTCCGTACCTACATGGTATGTTGATACTGATTGCCTGCGAAAGTTGGGATTGCTGGACAATATGCAGTGGTTACTCCATCATTCTGACTTAACGTTCATCTGCATACAGAATCTCCTAACATACAAGTCGCTGACCTTGGAATTTCTAAGCTCCTTCTCGTAAAACCTGTCGTGTGACGAAAACTAGCACTTATCTGGTTCCACTACTTTTAGAATGTTCAACGATGAATATTTTGTAAGTCAATCTACTCTAAGTGCTTTCTTCCAATTCCCTCGCGAGGGAGTGATACACCACTGTATTCCAGAAGACCTAGATTGGGTGTCTACAAGTTTCAGGCTTTGGAAAGTTCTTACCAATGAGGAACTGAACATCTGGGAAGGACTTTATGCTTCATCAATTCATAATCCCGCAATAAGGTATTTCCATAGTGTTATCTCCAACACCATTTTGAGAGGATTAACAACAACAAGGTTAATTATAAAGAATTGTTCCTCCTCCATTGTACCTTCAAACCCAACTAAAAGATCAATGCAAGCACATTCCTCCTATCACATATCTAGTCCTTGTGCGCCAGAGGATCTACGCCTTTCTGCATTGGAGAGATAGTCACCTCTATAACACTTGGCCTTAGCCTTCAATACAAGCTTGCAAATCTACCATCACTACCGCCCACGTTCATTGACATCGTCAACTGTCGGGTTGGCTATTTGATTAAGGTTAGAAGAGATGCTAGGTACAACCTCATGGTGCATAACAAGGTAGTTCCTAGTGTCATTTTTCTGAACTTTGCACTTACTAATATTACAAACTTGTATAAGTGGCTTTATGACCTTGATGCTCCTGCACCAAGAGATAATGCACAAAGCAACCAGGGGAATGTCCAAGCAGATGAAATAGAGTAGAAATGGAACAAGGAGACACTGAATAACAAGCTCCTCTTGAAAACATTGCAAGCACGTCCACTAGGCCCAAGAGAAGACGAGATAGAGTACCGGCCTCGAATGATGATATTATGGCTGCCAAATGGAACATGATAAGAGAATGCAGGCTATGAAAAACAACCAAAATGCAATGATGCAACTTATGCTGGCCATACAAACTCAGCATCAAGAATATGACGAGAGAAACGAGTGCCACACTGCAAGATTAACCGATTAAATAGAGGCCTTGACTGTATGCATGGGTGGTTTTCAGGATTATATATACCATGTAGCTATGCCCCATCCTCCGGGTACACATGGACGAGCACGAGGACGAGGAAGAGGATGCGATAACGAACAAGAATAAATTAATTTTTGTTTCTCTTCCCATTTTCTTTTTTGTTTTTAAAGAATTGGGACATTGCTTGTTTCAAGCTAAGGGGAGTTAGTTAGTTTGAAACCCTTTGTTGCTTTCTAAGTAGGTCTTTCTTTCATTTCCATTTGTAATAAAAATCATCGTAGTATTTTCGAGTTCGTTTATGCAATTTTTCCATTATTATCTAATTTCCCACTTTCTTGAGCCATAACAAAATATTTTTGTTGGTTACTTGCATAATCTGACGCGTTCGAAGAATATATAGGTTTCTCACTTTTTAAAAGATATATCATAAACTTTGAGTGAAAGAGCACGATGGATATCGTCGCAACACTCTAAATACCCAGATTACGGTAGATCGATTTCAGTACCCTTAATACTGAAACCTTAAACTTTAGCTTTAAAATAGCCCCGAGTAGTTTATCTAGCAGTCAACACCATCTTAAACACAAACTACATAGGGAGTCGATGAATATAAGTGAATGATTCAGTATATTTGAAAGATACATGCTTTGCTGTAAGAAAATAGGGAATGCACCAATTGAGTTAGACGATCCTCACCCGGTCACTTAATCTAACGGATGCAGTACCTACATGATATAACAAAAAGCCTGTTGTCAGTTGGTTTTGAGGTGTCTGGTACTGAACTTGGTAGGGCGGACCATGGTCCGATCCCCGCAACTTGCAATTGGGTGAATTAAAGGAGGTTACCGCATTTATGTTCAAGAACCTCATGCTTAAAAAGATCATAGTCACTAACCAGCTACTCTACTATGCGCGTGTGAACATAAAAGGCTTAATGTGATTGCGCTAGAATGAAAACGGGTAAAATTTAGCAAAAAGAATTAGGTTGAGCTATAATGGCATGACTGGAATTGGTCTCCATAATAGGGGATGTTTAGTGTTATTACCGTATCTTTTGTGTTATGTTGAGCTTACATTTCCGCAAAACATTGGCAGCCTCTTATGATTTGAATTGCATCATGAAATGGCATTTAACTTGTTCCTTATTGGGTTTGATACTAACTTTATTGCTTGAGGACAAGCAAAGGTTCAAGCTTAGGGGAGTTTGATAACACGAAAAGATATAGTATTTTTCGCTCGAATTACATAGATTAAATTTCTGATTCTTCGTTTATTATGTCACATTTTATCCCTTTTTGTAGTTTTTGAAACATATTTCAGTTACTTAGCTTTTGCAAGGCATAAATGAGAAAAGAAAGAAAAAGAATGGAAAAATGAAGAAGAAATGACTATTTCGCAGCAAAATACAACATTTTGTAAATCAGAAGCGTGTCGCCCTCCACAACACCTGTTGACCTACACAAGTTGGAAAAGTGTTCCCCTCAGCACATTTCATGTCCCGACCGGTACATATTCAGTAGGCGTGCCCCATGTCATAACACATAGCACGCTCGCCAAGATCCATAACAGTTGCAAACATCTCTCTGTTTGACGCATTAAATGAACGTTCACCTTGATTTTCTCCACGCTTCATGAATGAGAATTATGGGACGTTTCCTATTTTCTCTCACCATTTGGAATGCATATATATTGAAGCAGTTACCAAAGATGACTCTCTCTCTCTCTCTCGCACCTTGAACAATTGTTACGCAGTATTATTACTTTCAATTTCACTTTCTCTGTTGAGCATTATTTTATTGTGTTCTGTTTTGATATTTTCCAGTTTATATTTCCAGCATTAATTTTCCACTTTTTGTAGTATTCTGTAAGCAATAAAAAACCCACCTTCAAAGCAGTATTTCTCCACATCGCGGAAATACTGCAAAACTAGTTTGTTTCCTGACTTCCAGAATTTACTTAGGATTATTTAATTTAATTCGAGTTATTTTTACTACAAGTAAATCCTGCCGGCTTGTGGAGGATACGCATTACTCGGAATTAATCGATTTATTATTCACTTTTAGGTTATTATTTTAATAAGCATAATTTATTTATTTCCTACCATGCATGTGTTGATGAATTTACGTTTCAATTTTATGTTGTTCCGCGATAATATTATGTTTGGCTAGATTCCCTAATACCGGTATGTATAACTTAACCGAAAGGATTCGGTAATTAACTGGCATTATTATTTTTACAAAAATGCTTTACTGGTTTTAATTTCCAATTTGGATATTTAATTGTTTTTGTACGAGAGTAAAAGACAGTCTAAGGTTAAAATCAACGGAGCTAGAGTTTGAGGTTTTAACCAGATAGTGGTTATTAAAACATTAATTTTAAAAACAACGGAAGCGCTTTAAAGTTAACTGGACCTTATTTGTTTTATTGGCCCAATAGCGAAGATCTTGGCCCAGGTATTCATTCATTCACTCTCATCTTCGTACTTGCACTCTAAATGTCTTTATTCTTACTTTGGAATCGAAGCACCTTGCACGTACACCCCCTCAACTTTACTTTCAACTATCGTTCAACTCAAGCTCGTGGATCATTGATGATCCCTCCTGATCAGGTACGATCAGGTATGCTTATGTGTCATTAAAAATAAATGAAAAAACAAAAAATATCATTCTGCTTGACACATATGTACTTGGCATGTGCCAGATCTCTCAAAGATCTAAATTGATGAAATCATCAAATGACAAGGGTACTTTTACAATAAAAAATAAATTACAAGGGACAAAACCAGAAATAGCCCATATAACATGCTAAAATGATATCAACAATTTTAAAATAAATTTAAATATGTTTTTGATCCCTATAAATTATCAAATTTTATTTTTGGTCCTTATAAAAAATATGACATGTTTTAGTCCTTACAAAATTATTACGCACGTAGTTTTAGTCTTTGCTGTTAAACCAATATGTATTTTTGAATGATTATTATGTAGACATGTTTAGAACGTTATAAAAAATTCTTTAGAAAAAAGAAACTAAAAATTTAATTTTTAAGTCGAGATTTTCATTACTTTTATTAATATCTTTTGAAATTCAAAAATTTTATATTTAATTTTTCTCATTTTAAAAAATTCTAAATTTATTAAATAAATATTCTATAGTATTCTATACACCTATGAAAAAGTTATTCAAAAATTAAAAAATTTAAAGGTAATTAAATCACTTTTAATATTTAAAAAAATAATAAAACCTAAAACTGAATGAATGAACACAAATTTTTCAAAGATCAAAATTTATTATTTTTTTAATAGAAATTAAAAATAAAATTTGATATATTTATAAAGATAAAAAGATACTTAACCGTTTAAAATAGGTATAATTTCCGCTAACTTTAGAATTGATAGACTAACGCTTCAGAAACCGTAGTGAGTTCCAATGGCTCCCGAAGTAACAACAAGGAGAAGAAGAAATAGAGTTCCACCTTCCACACCAGAGGTAATCAACCTTTCTGATGAAGAAGACGACGACATTAAGATCCTCGATATCATTCCTAAGCACACTCCTTTAAGAAAACGTAAGAGAAATTTCGAAAAAGGAGAGTCTTCAAATTCAAGTAACATTCCATTCGTTTGCGAAATCTGTACAGAAACTAAAACAACGAAGGAAGCTTTCTACATCAGAGGCTGCTCTCACGCATATTGCTCTGATTGCGTCGCAAATTACATCGGTTCCAAACTTGAAGATAACATCGTCAACATCCCATGTCCAGTTCCGGAATGCAAAGCTTCTTTGGAAGCGCAGTTTTGCCGTTCAATTCTTCCGGCCGAGATTTTTGAAAAGTGGAGTAAAGCATTGTGCGAGGCTTTGTTTAATGTTTCACAGAAATTCTATTGTCCCTTTGCAGACTGTTCTGCTCTTTTGATTAATGACGAAACGGAGATGGTTAGAAATTCGGAATGCCCTAATTGTAATAGGATGTTCTGTGCACAATGTAAGGTTCCATGGCATGATGGAATCGAATGCACCGAGTTCTGGAAGCTAAATGCGGGCGAGAGGGAGAAAGAAGATATTATGTTGATGCGCCTTGCACAGAATATGCACTGGAAGCGATGCCCTAAGTGCAAAATTTATGTTGCCAGAACAATGGGCTGCAATTCCATGACATGCAGGTTTCTTTTTTATTTGATCTGATATCTTGCTTTGTGATTTCATCCTACAATCATCAATTTAAGAGATGATGCAATACAAAACAGCAACTAGCTACCAATCAACCTTTGTATTTTAGCTATATGTTCATGCTAATTTCATCTAGAAAGAAATTTTAAATGTTTAACTTTTATTGTAGGTGTGGATGTAGTTTTTGTTACAATTGTGGAGGTGCCTACACTGCTAGCGGCTGCGATTGTTGGAAACTCGGCAATGGGACTCCACAACATCCACAGGTTTTTTCTGGAAGAACTCTCACTAATAGGAATCTCATCTTTGAGGAGGAGGAAGTCTCTGAGGAGGAGGAGGAAGAAGAGGAGGAAAAAGAGGAGGAAGAAGTCTATGAGGAGAAGGAGGAGAAAGATGAGGAGGAGGTCTATGAGGAGGAGGAGGTCTATGCGGAGGAGGAGGAGGATGAAGAAGTCTATGAGGAGGAGGAGGAGGTCTATGCGGAGGAAGAAGTCTATGAGGAGGAGGAGGAGGAGATAGAGGAGGAAGAGGTCTATGAGGAGGAGGAGGAGGAGGAGCAGGAAGATGAGGAGGAGGGGGAAGAAATAGAAGAGGAAGAGGTCTATGAGGAGGAGGAGGAGGAGATAGAGGAGGAAGAGGTCTATGAGGAGGAGGAGGAGGAACAGGAAGATGAGGAGGAGGAGGATATCTATGAGGAGGAGGGGGAAGAGATAGAGGAGGAGGAGGTCTATGAGGAGGAGGATGTCTATGAGGAGGAGGAGGAAGATGTCTATGAGGAGGAGGACGACGACGACGATGACGACATGTACTGAAATAGTATGCTAGTTTATAAATTTCAGTGTTACAGCCTTTCAGTATTTATATTGACCTTGTTTTCTGGTTAGTAAATTTGGCAGTGCAACTTTTGAGTTTTCTTTGATGTCTAGTGTTTTGCTAATATAGATGAAGGACAAGCTTGACAAAGTATTTTTATGCATGTTTGCATGTGTGGAGTAGTTGGCTAATACTTTTGAGCATTAGAAAAATTTGTCACAGATCGAAGAGCATTAGAAAAATTTGTGCATTAGAATCGAATGCAGCCAAACTCCACATCAATTTGGCTCAACAAGAAGAACACGTTTACTATATGTATCATATACGATAATGTCCGTGCTTCATTGAATCTAACCAAAGGGGAAAACAAGAGTTTTTTAACCTATATTTATTTTGATAGATTGTGTGATTTTGAAATTATTGAATATTTGATTTTGAAATTAGTTATATTTTTATCTGTGTTCTTTGACATGTACTGAAATAGTATGCTACTTTATAAATTTCAGTGTTACAGCCAGTCAGTATTTATATTGACGTTGTTTTCTGTTTAGTAAATTTGGTAATGCAACTTTTGAGTTTTCTTTGATGTCTATTGTTTTGCCAATATTGATGAACGAAGCTTGACAAAGTCTGTTTATGCATGTTGGCACGTGTGAAGTAGTTGGTTAATACATTTAGTGAGTATTGTGCAAAATGTTGTCACTATGTGGTGATTTGGAATATGATACATAAATTGTTGTGGCTAGTTGGGCGATGGCTGTTTATTTGATAGATGGTATCATGAACTATTTGATCATATATTATTTATAAATTTTTTTGAAAATCAAACCGAAGATGCTTAGTTATTGGTTTATTGATCGAACTACTGAATTATTAGTGTAACATTATCAAGCTGTAGTTTCAATATATTAATCGTTTCGATAGAGGTCATGAATTTGACTCGTCTATCAAAAGGTGAAGAGTTCGACTCGCCTATCAATTATTTTGAGACTTAGTATATTTTTAAGTCTAAGGATTAAATAATTTAGAGACATTTTGACAGCAGTGATAGTTCAAAACAGTAGTAGAAGTTTTTGAAACAACTCAAAGTGCTAGAAACGCTTGAAAATAAATTAAAAGACGAAAGCCCTTAACAAGACACATGTTGGATTTTGAAGGAGTAATCGTTGTTGATAATTATTAATGTACATAGTATATAAGTCGTTTCCGTTTTCAGAAAGATAATTCACATTTTCATTCTTTTCCTGTAAAATTCACATATTCGAATTACAGAGAAAAAAAAATTTGAGAGAAATATATAAACTTGTATTTCATTTTTAAATTCAAGCCTTTTTATCCAATTGTATTTGTTTTTCATTTTCTTCATTTACTTTACTCTTTTAAATAATTCTGCATTTAATTCTTCCAACTTGTATTCAATTACTCAAGTATCAATCATAAAACTTTACAGCACTATTAAACTTTTAAAATTTTTTTACAAAAAGTGTTCTTAGATAAACTTGTATTTCATTTTTAAATTCAAGCCTTTTTATCCAATTGCATTTGTTCTTCATTTTCTTCATTTACTTTACTCTTTTAAATAATTTTGCACTTAATTCTTCCAACTTGTATTCAGTTACTCAAGTATCAATCATAAAACTTTACAGCACCATTAAACTTTTAAAAAAAATTTACAAAAAGTGTTCTTAGATAAACTTGTATTTCATTTTTAAATTCAAGCCTTTTTATCCAATTGCATTTGTTCTTCATTTTCTTCATTTACTTTACTCTTTTAAATAATTCTGCACTTAATTCTTCCAACTTGTATTCAATTACTCAAGTATCAATCATAAAACTTTACAGCACTATTAAATTTTTAAAATTTTTTTACAAAAAGTGTTCTTAGAATTTTTTTCGAGTTTAATCCTTTAAGTAAGATAAAACTCTTTATTTGTATATAAAAAATACTAGCAAACAAATATATAATAAATTTTAAGTTTAAATATTATTTTCTTTCCGTTAAGTTAATTAGCTTTTAAATTTGTTCAATGAATCTTTTTTGTGTAAGTCCTCGTATATCTATTTTTTATTGAATTTGTCTCCTGACGTTAAATTTTCGTTACAAAAATGATGATGTGACTAACACTGCTGATGTGTCATATGTTTTATTTAATATAATTTATTTTTGATATAATCCATTTAGGCATATTTATTATTATTATTTAATTATATGAGAGTGTTAGATGTTAAATGCCAAAATTTTCAAAAACTAATTTTAAAAAAGTTCAAACTCTAGACCAGTTACTCACAGCATGCATGCCTTTTCACTAGGCTACTTTTATTTTTTTGTTCATTAATTCCAAAGCATTTGTATATAATAGATACCACTAAGAAACCCGTGCGAGACATTACACCTATTAATACTAAATTATTAATACTATATTTTCATTTGGATAGCATTAATATAATTATAACTTATAATTATTTATCAAATTTTAATTCACGTGTTTGAAATATCAATCATAATATAGTTTATTTTGCAAAATATTCATATAGTTTCAATTATACACTAATAATATGTACCAAATGAGTTATATCAAATGAGTTAATTCTAAAAATTTATTAAATCTATTTTAGATATTAGTCTATGTTTCCAAACCTAAAATGTATGACAGCCCCCGTCAAATTTCAGTTTTAAAATTTTCTTATTATATCATATTTACATTTTCTTTTAGAATGACAACTCCTCGTTAAATTTAAATTTTAAAACTTTTTTATTAGATCATATTTACAAATTTTATAAATTTAAAATGTATGACAGTACCCCGTCAAAATTTAATAAACTATGAAATATGCTCATGCAAATTCAAAATGAAGATTAAAATAAAACTTATAACCTAATCTTCAAAATATAAAAAAATCATATATAAATTTATTGTAAAATTTTATAAATAAAAATATAACCTAAAATATCAAAAATATCATCAATTTTCTATTAAAAACGTGAGATCGGAGAAAAACCTTTTAAATTTAAAATAGACAGACTATTTTTGTGAATCAAATAAAATTAGAGATTAAAATTATAATATAACTTTTTATATTCTTGATAAATCAAATATATATATTATTAAACCTATTATATATATATATATATATATATATATATATATATATATATATATATATATATATATATATATATATATATATATATATATATATATATATATATATATATATATATATATATATATATATATATATATATATATATATATATATATATATATATATATATATATATATATATATATTAGAGATTAAAATTATAATATAACTTTTTATATTCTTGATAAATCAAATATATATATTATTAAACCTATTATATATATATATATATATATATATATATATATATATATATATATATATATATATATATATATATATATATATATATATATATATATATATATATATATATATATATATATATATATATATATATATATATATATATATATATATATATTAGAGAAAAATTTAAAGAGTGATTGGTAATTTTATACAACTCAACATGATTCTATTCAACACAACATCATCAAATCCCAGGCATCAAGCATTGGCTTATTTGCATGCACTGAGTTTTTCTATCCATTTACAACATGCACTCTAGCCTTCTTTCCGAAGCATTCAATCACAGTCTAGTCTTCTTTCTATGGGATCTGAAATTGAGTTTCTGCATGAATTGTATAAGGTAACGTCAAAATGGATCACAGTCAAGTAAATTAGTTATTAGTTTTCCAACTATCTTGCAAGTATTATAGTAACATCGGTCCACTAAGTTGGTGGCTTAAAGAAATAAAATAGCTGTCGTGGAAGTCTATTTTACCCTAAAATTAGAACAGTGTCACTGAATTATTTGAAGCAAGTTCTAGGTGTTTCGAAACCATAAATAAATATTCTCAATTGACTTATATTCCACAGTCTCTCTCTGAGTGACATGTCACGAAATGAAAATTCTTCGATCCCGTACAATTATGTTTCTCTCGCAGATTATTTCGCTTCGCTCGCCTTCAAGAAGCTTCTTCGTGGTGCCGATATCTAACTCAAATGTTTCGTCAATCATACAAAAATGTAGAAGCCATAATCGATGACTCGGATACTTAAGTTTAAGTATTTAGATATGGGCATGCAACAAAAAATAGGGTTGATGTAAAATACCAAGATTGCGGTTGTTGATACCAATAAGCTCAAGACCCTCTACATTTGACACTAAATGAAATTTAAAAGCTGAAGAAAGCCTAGGATAAAGATCAAACACATTTTGAATTCATTTTTTAAAATTGATTTACCAAGTTGAAGATATGAAATGTTTGATCTATATCTAACAACTTCCAACTCTGTTTCATACATTGAATTCATGGCATTCTGTCTAGTTTGTTCCAAATGACAAATAATCATAATTTTATTTGAAGACAATATCAATTCATCAAGTGCCAACATACTTTCCTTACTTTATTTTTTAATTTTCAAAATCATACAATGAGATTAATTTATGTGAGTTGAAACTTAGTCTCTTAAGCATTTTGAATGATATTAAAAAATACGAGAATATAGCATTTTTATAGTTGGACATTATCTGTGAGTTTAGTGTGACACCTTGATCATATAGAAATCATAGGTTATTTGGGAATCGTTAAAAGTCATTTTAAATTTGAATCAAGTCATTAAAAACTGTGTTTGCACAAATTTTCGTTGCATCTTATGACACATCTGCTTTTTAGCTCGGTACATACAACTCATTTTTGAAGCCTGTAGCCTCTGTAAGTCTCAGGTCGACACATGCATTACATAGGTCGACACATACTGAAGTATTTCTTAAATTGAAGAAATTCTTATTTTATGTGTCGACACATCCGTTTTCCAGGTACACACATTTGCTATCGTTTTAAAGCCTGTAGCCTCTATCTTGGTTAGGTCGACACATAGCCTTACACAGGTCGACACATATAACTTA